GTTTTGTGATATTAGGCAAAACGTGTAATTTTTTAGATCTCAGTTTCCTCACCTGTAAAAGTGGAAGAAAAACTGTCTTTACATGAATGTGAGGTAAAGCAAACAAGCTAATACATGAAAGTCTTCAGTAAAAAAAAAAAAAAAAAAAAAAAAAATTTGGAATCCCACCAGCTGTGAGGCGCGGCCAGCAATAAAAGGTGAAAAACATGTTACAAACATATTCTCAGGAAACATGGGGGAAAAGAAAAATGAAACAGAGAGGAAGAAACATCTCGATTGCCTAAGGTAACTAACATTTTAGCCGTTTTCCCTCCATTGTATTTTTTTCCTCATAGTTTACCCTTGAGCTATGTTGAGAAGGTACACAATTTTGTATTCTATTTTTCCCATAACTTTATAACTTGGCATTGGTTAACATCTGTGGCAGGTCCATGAGTCTCTCTCCACATCTCTTAATGGCCTGAGGGAAGGAAAGCATGTGGGCAGGGGGTGGAGAGTGCTGTCTGCTCTGGGTCCCAGAGGGCCAGTTTCTCAGCCTTGGCAGTTCTGCCATTTTGGTGTGGATAATTCTGGGTTGTGAGGGACTGTCCTGTGCGCTGTGGGATGTTGAGCAGCACGCCAGGTCACTGCCCACTAAATGCTGGTAGCACCCTTCTCCCTGCAGCTGTGACAACCCACAATGTCTCCTGACATTACCAACTGTCCCCTGGGGGTAGGGTTGCCAGGTTCAACTGAGAAGAATAGAGGACAGCCAGTTAAATTTGAATCTGCATTTCAGATAAACAACAAATAATTTTTTTGTATAAGTGTGTCCTAGAGGACATAATGAATAGGGACACACTGAAAAATTATTATCTGTCTGAACCTCAAATTTACCTGGGCAGCATGTATTTTATCTGGCAACCTAGGGGTGGGGTGAAGGGATCGCCCTCTGTTGAGCTCCTGCTTTAGGGTATCAGACATAAAGGAACAGGCAGAGGAAATCCTTGCTCGTGAGGCTTACGATCTCATCTCAGATCTCACAGCAGGAGGCGGCACTCATATGTGCCACTAAAGCACCTCGGGTGCTGGCTGGGCCCTTCATCTCCTGGTCTGCTTCTCCCTCCTCCTCAGGCTCAAACCACTCCCCCCAAGAGTCTCCCTGGCCTATTTACACTCTGTCCCCAAGAAAGCAGAAGTCACTGAAACCCAAAGAACAACACTGAGTCTCCAGTTGCCAAGTGTAAAGGGCTGGTGGCCTCTTGGGGTTCGAAACTGCCAAGGAGGCACATCTGGGCTCTGGGATTGCTTTGAGGGCAGGTTCACGGGGACTCCCTAACTCCCAGCTTGGGGACCCTGGGAGTGGGCCCACTGGGCCTGGTAGGGGTCAGTGAGAGAGGGGGCAAGTTCAGAACCTAGAGGCAGTGGGTGAGACTGCCCGCTCATTTGATAAAGTTCATTTATTGAGCGCTCACTGTGTGTCAGGCGCTGTACTAGGTGCTGGGGAGGTGTCAGCCATCAGGCCGAGCTGGTCCCTGCCCAGGTGGGCAGGTGTGGAAGGTGCGGGCAGGGAGCATGATCAGCATTGTCAAGAGAGGGCATCCAGAGGCCAGCCTGACTGGTCTGGGGTCAGTGAGGTGATCAGCAGGTGGTGAGTCCAGCTCTGGACATATGCAGAGTCCAAGACTCTGGAGACATTTGGGGCAGATGTCCAAGGAGAAGAACCGTGGCTCTGGGCACAAATGTGGGCAGAAGCCCTGGTGGGGTGTGGGGTAGCCAGAGTTTTAAGAGAGAGAGTCGGGTGAGGACAGAGCCTGGGAGCCTCCCTGTTTAGAGGCAGTGAGGGAGACTTAGAAGAGATGGTCAGAGAGGTAGGTAGGGGTTGACATCGTCGGGAGGGCTGGGGGAGAAGAGAGTTCCCAAGAAGGAGTGGTCGAGAGCAAGCAGCACAGCTGAGAGGGCAGGTGGCCTGAAGACAAGGTTGGAGGGCATTGAGGCCACTCACCAGCACAGTTCTGGGCATCACACTTTAGGACGAACATTCACCAGCAGAGAAGATCCAGGGGTGACCAGGTGTCTTTCAGGGGAATGTTTGAATGAACTGGGGATGCCAGCATGAGAAAGGAGTCTCCCAGGCCTGAGAGTCCCCCATAGACACAGCCCCTCAGACTCGGAGCACCTGGGGTGGCAATGCTGATTCACCCTCTGCCCCTGGCTCACTCTGCTCCAACCCAGCTGGCCTCCTTGCTGTTCCTTGGATGCCAGACCGGCTCCCACCTCAGGGCCTTTGTACCTGCTGTTGCCTTTGCCTGGAACACTTCCTCAATACATCCTCATCTCCTTTAGGTTTTTTTAAAAATATTTATTTATTTTAATTATTTATTTGGCTGCGTCGGGTCTTAGTTGCAGCGCGTGGGTTTTTTTTTTCGGCACGCAGGCTTCTCTCTAGCTGTGGCACGTGGGCTTAGTTGCCCTGCGGCATGTGGGATCTTAGTTCCCCGACCAGGGATGGAACCGGTGTCTGCTGCGTTAGAAGGCAGATTCTTAACCACTGGACCACCAGGGAAGTCCCTCCTTTAGGTTTTTACTCAAATGTTATCTTCTCTGTTAGGCCTTTCCTGACAATCAATTTAAAACAGCAGCACCCCCTCCCAACATTACCTAGTCCCTTCCCTACTTAATTTTTCTCCATAACACATCTATCATCATCTTATAATACCTATATTGAAGTTTTAAAATGTTTATTTTGATTTGAGTGTATAATATATTCACATGGTTCAAGATTCAAAGTTGTGTCCAGTCTTTTGCTATTACAAATATCTCTGCCATGAATAAATTTGTGCCTGCATCATTTCATTGTATAGATGAAGCTCTAGGCTACAGTCTCTTAAGTGGGATTACTGGGTTAAGGGGTAAATGCATTTATAGCTCACTTTTTAATTTTTTTTTTCTGCTCTCATGGCTAGAATAAGCTCCATGACAGGACAGGAATTTTTTTTTTTTTTTTTTTTGCGGTACGCGGGCCTCTCCCTGTTGTGGCCTCTCCCGTTGTGGAGCACAGGCTCTGGACGTGCAGGCTCAGCGGCCATGGCTCACGGGCCCAGCCGCTCCGCGACATGTGGGATCTTCCCGGACCGGGGCACGAACCAGTGTCCCCTGCATCGGCAGGCGGACTCTCAACCACTGCGCCACCAGGGAAGCCCAGGACTGGAATTTTTCAACTTTTGTTCATTGCTGTATCCCCAGTGCTTCAAACAAGGCTCGGCACATAGTAGATGCTCAATAAATACGTGTTGAGTGAGTGAATGAACCCATTCCTGGAAGCCTGAAGATACACTCCTGACACCGTTCTAGAGTCGGCCTCCTTCCCGACCTCAGGGCTGTGGATTCTTGGAGAGGCTTGGACACAGTACAATGTCCTCGCCAGTCCCACACCCCCTCCAGAAAGTGAAAGCCTTTCCTCAGCAGATACAGCAATGCTGTACTAAGGCTGGTTGTTCTCTCCTCTGCTTCCCCTGCTTTACCCAGGAAGGCTTTTAAAAATATGTCTACTAATATTTGCAAATGAATCAACGGACAAAGGATTAATCTCCAAAATATACAAACAGCTCATGCAGCTCAATGTCAAAAAAACAAACAACCCAATCAAAAAATGGGCAGAAGACCTAAATAGACATTTCTCCAAAGAAGATATACAGATGGCCAAGAAGCACATGAAAAGATGCTCAATATCACTAATTATTAGTGAAATGTAAATCAAAACTACAATGAGGTATGACCTCACACCGGTCAGAATGGCCATCATCAAAAAACCTACAAACAATAAATGCTGGAGAGGGTGTGGAGAAAAGAGAACCCTCCTACACTGTTGGTGGGAATGTAAATTGATACAGCCACTATGGAGAACAGTATGGAGGTTCCTTAAAAAACTAAAAATAGGATTACCATACGACCTAGCAATCCCACTACTGGGCATATACCCAGAGGAAACCATAATTCAAAAAGACACACGCACCCCAATGTTCATTGCAGCACTATTTACAATAGCCAGGTCATGGAAGCAACCTAAATGCCCATCAACAGATGAATGGATAAAGAAGATGTGGTACATATATACAATGGAATATTACTCAGCCATAAAAAGGAAAGAAATTGGGTCATTTGTAGAGACATGGATGGACCTGGAGACTGTCATACAGAGTGAAGTAAGTCAGAAGGAGTAAAACAGATATTGTGTATTAACGTATATATGTGGAATCTAGAAAAATGGTACAGATGAACCAGTTTGCAAAGCAAAGTAGAGACACAGACATAGAGAGCAAACATATGGACACCAAGGGGGGAAAGTGGGGGTGGGATGAACTGGGAGATTGGGATTGACATATATACAGTACCTTATATAAAATGGATAACTAATGAGAACTTGCTGCACAGTAGAAACTAACACAATATTGTAAAACAACTATACCTCAATTAAAGAAAAATGTCGGGCTTCCCTGGTGGCGCGGTGGTTAAGAATCCACCTGCCGATGCAGGGAACACAGGTTCGAGCCCCGGTCCGGGAAGATCCCACATGCTGTGGAGCAACTAAGCCCATTCACCACAACTACTGAGCCCGCGTGCTACAACTACTGAGCCTGCACACCACAGCTACTGAAGCCCGTGTGCCTAGAGCCGGTGCTCTGCGACAAGAGAAGCCACCGCAATGAAGAGTAGCCCCCACTCACCATAACTAGAGAAAGCCCATGCGCAGCAACGAACACCCAATGCAGCCAAAAACAATAAATTTAAAAAAAAAGAAATAAAAAGAACATGGTGAAAATTGTAGCTGCCGGCAGGTCTCATCATTCCTGGGGAGAGAGCACCCAGCAAATCTCCTTGTGGGCAGGGACTCAGGTTCTGGCATGTTCAAGACATCCACTACCCCTACCCTCCAAATTAGCAGGTTAATGTTTGAGTCCCCCAGACTTCTAGGGCAACGGTGAAGAAGTTGACTGTAATAATTCCCCAATTTCTCTCACCTGTCAAAAGGACCACTTTTGTTAGTTGGCTTCACGTTTCCAGGAGTGTCTGTCGATATTTGTCTGAGTCAACTGTTTAACTGCAGGAAACTTGGCCATTCTGATTCCCTCTGGGCCCCTTGAGGAAGCCCCAGGTCCCATGAGGACATCTCCTGTTGGCTTCCAGTTTCCACGGGAGTGGGGAGAAAGAAGAGGTTAAAATATGCAGCCAGACTGACCTGGGTTCACACTCTGGCCTGGCAACTGAGTAGCTGTGAGGTCTTGGGAAACTAAGGTCAAAGCTCCCTTCATCTTGTGTTCCAGCCCTGCCTATTTTTCTTGCCCCTCCTATAACCAACCACCCTGATAAAGAGGAGGGAAAGGGTAAAGTCCAGAACCTACGACCCAGGTTTGGGCCAGAGACAGAAGATCCCATAATGGCAGTCTGTGTGCCCCAGGACAGGCCCCTCCTTCATCTTCATGGTCAAGTGGGCTGTTTATAACAAAACCCGGGATCCATGGCAGCAGCTCCAAACACCTTTTGGCTCCAAACCTGAACTTTCTGGATTTTCTGAGAAGTTCACTTATAAATTAGAGCATTGTTTGGATATCTTTAATCACATCTGGCACTCAAGTATTCACAGTGTGTATAACCAGGGGCGCTCCTAATAAACTTTGGTAAACACAGAAGTCCAGATTTCTAGGCTAGACACCTGCCTCAGTGTTTATGCTGGAATGGGGGATCTCAAATTTCTATAGGGACGGGACCACCAAGAAAAGGTCCTTTAAGGCTGAAAGAAATGGGAGATTCTTTTGACTCTAAAGAAACTGAAGATTTGAGAGAGCTTGAAGTAGCCTGAACTTGAAAACTGCCCAGGAAACAATAGTGATTAAAACAAGGGATTTAGCCTTTAAAGCAGAAACAAAACAATCCCTGCAGGTTTGAGCTGGTGACTGGATCAGTAGAGAAGAAAGTGTCAAATCCCTAGATTGTTTCTGTCCAAAGTGGAGCATTCCCCCGCAGCCTGGGAGAGATTTAGGAGACATGGAAACTAAATGTAATAAAGAGACCTTGTCAGGATCCTGATTCAAACAAGCCAACTGTCAAAAAGGAAAAACTATGAGACATTTAGGGAAATTTGAAAACTGACTGGATATTTGAGATGAAGCCAAGCTTGATAGTTGTTGAAGGTGAGTGATGGGTACATGGTTCCTTTTGCTATTTTTTTCGACTTTTGCCTATGTTTGAATTTTTCCGTAATAAAAGTAAAATAAGGCCTCCAAATAGATTGTTTCATATGTTAAGCTCAAATACTTCCCTTTCCTTACATATCATCAATTGCTTAAAATCATGCCACATTTTAATTTCCTTCACATGTGAATCACAATTTTCTGGTACAGTTATGTGTTTTTCCTGGAGTTTCTTGGCACTTTTCCTGTTCGTTTGGGAGAGAAGAAACTTATGCCTTCTTTACCATATGACTAAGAGCTTCTAGCTTCTTTTTTTTTTTTTATGATATTTTTATATCTTTTTTTTTTGGCTGCGTTGGGTTTTCGTTGCTGCGCGTGGGCTTTCTCTAGCTGTGTTGAGCAGGGGCTACTCTTCATTGCAGTGCATGGGCTTCTCATTGCGGTGGCTTCTCTTGTTGCGGAGCACGGGCTCTAGGTGCGTAGGCTTCAGTAGCTGTGACTCGTGGTCTCTAAAGCGCAGGCTCAGTAGTTGTGGCTCATGGGCTTAGTTGCTCTGCGGCATGTGGGATCTTCCTGGACCAGGGATCGAATCCGTGTCCCCTGCATTGGCAGGTGGATTCTTAACCACTGTGCCACCAGGGAAGTCCCAAGAGCTCTAGCTCCTTAATTGTATTATCTATTGACTGGAACTCAATTCTTGAAGAACTTTTTAAGACGTTGTTATCAGAACCTTCTGTTTTCCCGTTCTAATTTAAAGCAAATACTTCTAGGCAAACAGTTATTACTCTGGGATTTCCTTTCAACGTGTGTCTGGATTAGTTCTATTTTTATTGATATTAAGTGTGTTAGCTCAGGCTCCCCAGAAGCAGAGCCTGAGACAAGGATTCTGGTGAAAGTGACACCACTCTCTCAGTTAACCACTGTCACCAGGATAAAGCAGGGGAAGAAAGCTAAGCAGGGAAGTATTCTTGGCTGGAGATGCTGGAGTTCATTCCCCCTTGAGATAAGGAGGAATTTTGTGCAGCAACTCACAGCAGGGGCAATGGGTACACTAGACCATTGGGGGGGATTTGAGAGCACCATCCACCACTCTAGTGGTTCTCAAACTTGAGTGTGTACCAGAATCACCCAGAGGACTTGTTAAAACACAGATCACTAGGCCCCACCTCCAGAATTTCTGATTCAATAGCTCAGGGGCAGGTCCTGAGAATTTGCATATTTAACAAGTGGCCAGATGCTGCTTCTGGAACTATACTTTGAGAATCCAAAGCAGCACATGACATATTATTTTTTTGTTTTCCTGGACTACAAGCTCAAGTATAATTTTTTTCAGCGTGAATGCATGGGAGGTACAAGTCTATTTTGCCCCTACACTTGTCTTTTCCTTAGGCAAGTTCAAAAACATTTCCCTCAAGAACTTTGCAGGCCATTTCATAGTTTCTAGCTTCAGAGAAGCCCAGTGCCAGGTTTATCTTTATTCTCTCCCCTTACAGATAACCTGTTTGCTTTTAAGTTCCAGAAGCTGTTAGGCTTTCTGAAACCTCGTGAGCCCTTAGTTATGCATTTTCTCCCCTTTTGGCTCTGCTCAGCATTCAATGGACACTTTTATTTATTTATTTTTTGGCTTGAGGGATCTTAGTTCCCTGATCAGGGATTGAGAACCCGGGCCCTGGCAGTGAAAGCACCTAACCAGAGTCTTAACCACTGGACCGTCAGGGAATTCCCATCAGTAGGCATTTTTAATCTAAGGGTGCTTTGGAGGTTTTTTGATTTCTTTTTTGTTTGCTTGTTTTGGTTGCTCTGAGAATTTCCCTTCTATTATTTCTCTGATTATTTTCTTGCTTCTTTTTTCTGTTTTCTGTTATTCTCATTAGAAAAATATCAGGCCTCTTGAAATGATCTTTTATGATTCAATTTTCCCCACTTATTAAAAAAAAATCTTTTTTGTCTCTATATTCTTCTTTTTTTAAATTTATTTTTATTTGTGGCTGTGTTGAGTCTTCATTTCTGCACACAGGCTTTCTCTAGTTGCGGCGAGTGGGGGCTACTCTTCGTTGTGGTGCGCAGCCTTCTCATTGCGGTGGCTTCTGTTGTGGAGCACGGGCTCTAGGTGCACAGGCTGTAGTCGCGTGGGCTTCAGTAGATGTGGCTTGTGGGCTTCAGTAGTTGTGGCTCGCGGACTCTAGAGCACAGGCTCAGTAGTTGTGGTGTGCGGGCTTAGTTGCTCTGTGACACGTGGGATCCTCCTGGACCAGGGCTTGAAGAGACTTTAGTTTTTTAAAGAATATATCAAGGGACTTCCCTGGTGGCACAGTGGTTAAGAATCTGCCTGCCAATGCAGGGAACACGGGTTCTAGCCCTGGTCCGGGAAGATCCCACATGCCGCGGAGCAACTAAGTCCACGTGCCACAACTACTAAGCCTGTGCTCTAGAGTCTGCGAGCCACAACTACTGAAGCCCACGTGCCTAGAGCCCATGCTCCGCAACAAGAAAAGCCACCGCAATAAGAAGCCTGGGCACCGCAACAAAGAGTAGCTCCCACTCGCCACAACTACAGAAAGCCCATGCGCAGCAACGAAGGCCCAATGCAGCCAAAAATAAATAAATTAATTAATTAAAAAAATAAAGAATATATAAAAATTAATTTATTTTCATTAACTGATATAAAATACAATTCCAATTGCAAATCAAGCTTCTGATACCACAAATTTGTCATTGGATTAATTTACACAGAATGAAAAGTCTCAAATAATGATTAAAAACAAGAACATTCCAAGATTTCCAGGTGGAGGGAAAAGCAGCATCTTTTGTTCTTGAATAATCTAGGATACAATGTACTTAATAGTTGGAAGAAACCTGACAAAAGACAAAATTATCCTTAGTAAAATAGAAATATAAAACTTATGACCGTGGTATTATCCTTTGCTTTAAAAAATTGTTTTCCTTCCAGTTTTATTGAAATATAATTGACATGCAGCATTGCATAAGTTTAAGGTGTTCAGCATAATGATTTGACTTATATACATCATGAAATGATTACTGCAATGAGTTTAGTGAACACCCATCATCTCATACAGATACAAAATTAAAGAAGTGGAAAAAAATTTTTTTCCTTGTGATAAGAATTCTTAGGATTTACTCTCTTAACTTTCATATAAAACATGCAGCAGTGTTAACTATATTTATTGTGTTGTACATCATGTCCCTAGTACTTATTTATCTTATAACTGAAGGTTTGTACCTTTTGACTACCTTCATCTAATTCTCCCTCCCTCAACCCTCCGCCTGTGGTAACCACAAATCTGATCTCTTTTTCTATGAGTTTGTTTGTTTGTTCTTGAAGTATAATTGGCCTACAACACTATGTTAGTTCCTATTACACAACATAGTGATTCAGCATTTCTGTACATTTTGAAATGATCAGCACGGTAAGTCTAGTTATTGCCTGGCACCATACAAAGACATTACAAAATTCTTCACTATATTCACAACGCCATACATTTCATACCCTTGACTCATTTATCTTGTAACTGGAAGTTTGTACCCCTTAGTCTCCCACACCTGTTTCTCTTCGCCCATCCCCTCTGGCAACAACGTGTTTGTTCTCAGTATCTATGACTCTGTTTCTGTTTAGTTTGTTCATTTGTTTTGGTTTTCAGATTCTGCATACAAGTGAAATCATACAGTAATTCTCTTTGTCTGTCTGACTTATTTCACTTAGCATAATACCCTCTAGGTCCATCCATGTTGTCCCAGATTGCAAGATTTCATTCATTTTTATGGCTGAGTGATATTCCATTTTGTGTGTGTGTGTGTGTGCGCGTGTATGTGTATGACATCTTCTTTATCCATTCATCTACTGATGGACGCTTGGATTGCTGCCATATCTTGGTTATTGTAAATAAAACTGCAATGAACATAGGGGTGTGTATATCTTTTCAAAGTAGTAGTGTCATTTTCTTTGGATAAATACACAGGAGTGGAATTGCTGGATTATACGGTAATTCTATTTTTAATTTTGGGGGTAGTCTCCATACTGTTTTCCACAGTGGCTGCACCAGTTTACATTCCTACCAACAGTGCACAGAAGATTCCCTTTTCTCCACATCCTCACCAAAACTTGTTATTTGTGTCTTTTGGTAATAGCCATTCTGACAGGTGTGAGGTGATATCTCGTGGTTTTGGTTTGCATTTCCCTGATGATCAGTGATGTTGAGCATCCTTTCATGTGTCTGCCTGTTGGCCATCTGTGTGTCTTCTTTGGAAAAATATCTGTTCAGATCCTCACTCATTTCTCAATTGGGGTTTTTTTTTTTTTTGATGTTGAGTTCTATGCATTCTTTGTGTATTTTGGATATTAACCCCTTACTGAGTACGTCATTTGCAGGTGTCTTCTCTCATTTGCAGGCTGACTTTTGGCTTTGTTGATAGTTTCCTTCACTGTGCAAAAACTTTTTAGTTTGATGTAGTTCCCTTTGTTTATTTTTGCCCTTGTTTCCCAAAATTTTTATTAGCTCTTATTAGAATTTCAACAGTTTTTCCACTACTATCCTTTTTCTGTTCCCGACCCAATCCAGCATACTACATTGTATTTAGTTATCCTGTCTCCTGAGTCTCCTCTGGGGCAGTTTCTCAGTCTTTCCTTGTTTTTGTCTTTTTTCTTTTGAAAGTGGTGAAGAGTATTTGTCAGATATTTTGTAGAATGTCCCTCAATTTGGATTTTTTTCTCATGATTAGACAAGGATGATGTTCTTGGGGGAGAATATCACAAAGGTGAGGTGCCCCTCTCATTACATGACAGCAGCTGGTGATGGTACCCTTGATCACTTGATTAAAGCAGTTTGTCAGATTTGTCCAGTGTGAAATTACTATTTTTTCCCTTTCCATACTTTCTTCTTCAGCAGTGAGTCACTAAGTCCAGCACACATTTACGGGCGGAGAGCCAATTAAGCTCCATCTGGAGGGGAGAGTATCTACATATGATATTTGGAATTCTTCTGCAAGTAAGATTTGTCCCTTCTCCCCATGTATTTATTTATTCAATCACTTATTTAGATCAGCATGGACTGCTGTATATGTATGTTATGCTTTGGGTTATACTCTAATACTCCAATATTTTGTTACTAAAATTGTCCCAGCTTTGGCTATTGAGAGCTCTTTCAGGTTGGCATCTATGTCCCTTTGACACACCCCCATCCTATATATTTAAGCACTTCCTTACTTTCTGG